TTCCCACAAAAAAGTATGCATTATTTGGCAAAACATCAAAACTTTAATCTGTGTAATTGTTAAAGCAAGCTTCCAGTAATCGTATAACAAATGGGTAGTTTAATTCTTTCCCCTGCATATTAAGGGGATAACTTGACACACTTTATTATTGGGGAGGATTCAACTATGCGTATACCCCAAGAATTTCCATCTATGTAACCAGCTACCAAAGCTTGAGAACAGTTGGATTTACCCAACGTGATGGTATTGTAGCCGTCACCTTTTGTTGTCTTGTTGACTTACTTCATCTCATGTTCCAATGTATAACCTCCTTTGTTACTCACAGGAATAGCATTGCATGATAGGCTTTGGTTATCTCTGCATAGAGAGCCAGGATGCTCAATAATTAGTTGGTGGCCCGTGGGTTTAGCAGGGCTACACTGCTACTAATCTGCTGGAGAGAAAATAAAAAGGTTTAGGGTCACCTTTCAACAATACAATTTTAGTATCACCAAGCCCTTCAGAGATTACCTCTCCCTCCTGCCTGTGCTGATTAGTGGACCTTGGTGTGACGGAGCTCCCTGTCCCCCAACTGGGTTCCTCCGCCAAAGGACCGCTTCCTAGCTGGAACAGGGGACAAACCGCAGCCCTTCTGCCCACAGTCGACGTGGCTTGACTGGGGCCCTGGAACCGCTCCTTCCTGGAGCCAAATGGGGAATTAGCTCTAGACACCCTCACTGGACGAAACTCAGTCCTGTGAGCTCTAGTCCTTACAAGGACTTTCCCCATTGAAACTCCTGCAAGCTGGAATAGCAGACACAGGAGTAAATCTTCTTTCCCTCCAATAACAGGACAACACACAGTTTTGGAGTGTAAGCTGGAATAGATTTTAATGGTGCCACACTTGGCCTTATATGACAATCCCCATACAAGGGGTACGCCCACGTGGATCTTGTTGGGGACAGGGACACAAACTTGTAAACCAATAATAACACATTTACAATGTAAGGCACTCCCACACACAGCACACAATCCCTCCCCTCTGCCTGGGAGATAATTGAGTGAGATACCCAATTATCTCCAGGCAGAAAAGACACACATTTCTAAAAAGTCCCAAAAGTCCCCCAAAACACATGATATCACTGCAAATATCATTGCACATCTCCTGATAGCCCTGATCTGGGTGACCAACATATCCAAAAATCATCCAGATCAGTTCAGGGATTCAGAAATTCTATGGAATTAATTTATTTGACTGACCGCAGACATGGTCCCATGCCCAAAACAGTTCCAGAGAATCAGGGCTTGTGGTCGGTCTAGTTCGGTAGTTTGAAAATTAAAAAAGTACCAAACAGAGTCATTAGTCTTACCCTGGAGCTTGTTCCCTTCATACAGATGAATGCCTTCACTGAACAGAGCCCTTCTAAGTTGAATGAAACTGAACGCAGGTGATGATGGAAGTCCAGCAGTGTTTGGGCGCTTCTGTATCCGATTTCAGTTCCATGAGATTCATGCACAGCTGCCTGCGTTCATGTGAACAAGATGGCCGTCACCTCATGGTTGTCCATAGGAATTGCGGCCACCCAGAAGAAACACTTAGACCACTGCGGTGCAAATTGCAACAATGTATCAATTAAGCTTAACAGCTCCAGGGTGGTCTCCGGTTCGTGCGGCTGCTCAGTTACCAAATCATATAATTCCAGTAGATAAACTGAGACTTTTATATCACAGTTTACAAGGTCCATAGTCTGTAGGCAGGAGGCTGGCATGCAGGCCCCTCCAAGAACTCGTTGTGGCGGAACCAGCCTCGCCACTGGGCATTGGAGAAGACTGATTGCCAGCCTCCTGCCCTCTGACTACGGCCCCATGTTGAAATGCTGGATTTTCCCCTGCAAAGACCCGAAAGCCGGGTCATTCGGTACTTTCCCTATGTGAGCAGTGTTACCCCAGATAGCTATACCATGGAGCCCATTCGTATAACGAAAGACTATGTGAAAGACTTTGGCTCCATGGCAATTGAACCGTATGTATGTGATCTGAGCGCCATTCAGTAATAATTTGCGCTCAGATCTAAGCTATCTGGGGATATGTTGAAAGTACCCGTTTTATGCAATCGCTGCACAGTTATATATTTTTATGTATTGTATTGTATTTTGCTACCATGTGGCTCATGGAGTTTTGCCTCTGTCCTTGGAGATAATTGGATTACTTCCCAATTATCTCCAGGATAGAAGACTCTGTGGAACTGGTTTTGGGCAGAAAAAACATGCTTCATTTTGTCAAATAGGACTTTCCTTAACTTTTTAACTCCGAACCGATTGCCCTGATTTTTGAGTATGTGTATATTTCAAGTATTAGGATTCTGAAAATGTATGTTTTATGTGAATGGCATGTATATTTTGGAAGTTATTAATATTTTGTAAAAACTGTATTTCTCTGCCTGTGATAATTATATTACAATTGTGTTCAGTAATCATATCACAGGCAGAGGGGAGGATTTTGTGTGGGAGTGTCTGTGTGTATTGTATGGATTGATCGGTTGTATTTTAAAACCCTGTGGGCAGTACTATGTTTGTGGATTATGAATAAAAGAGGCTGTATGTGCCAGTACAGTCAGTTCTGCTTGACCTCAAAATGAAGTGTTGTCTCGTTATTGGTGGAATTGGATTGTATGCTGATTGCCAGGAGTGTAAGCTGATTGTATGCTTTTCCTGTTCAGCTGCTTACAGCATTCATATGCTTGAGAGCATTCGTATGCTTCTCCGGTTCGGTGGTTGTGGTGTCTGCTGCAGTGCTTGGAGTCCTCAGGAAGCGCTAGGAGCATCCTTCAATGGAGGTATCCAGTTGGGGTGCCAGGTTACACTCGTGGCAAACTCACTTGAAAAGGGGATTTTGTCACACCTAGTAAGACCCACACTTAAGACCCTACTTGTAATTCTGGACTTTTATCTCAGTAAACAACACTTTTGTGGGGAACCCAAATTGCAACCTCATCTATAATGGTACCAGCTGTCATCCTACTTTCATCAGTTCTAGACAGAGCTGCACTCCACTCTAGTTCAACAAATCAGAAATTTCCCAGTTGTATTCCAATCCTTGTTCACTAATTTGTGAGTGTAAGCTGATTGTATGCTTTTCCTGTTCAGCTGCTTACAGCATTCATATGCTTGAGAGCATTTGTATGCTTCTCCGGTTCGGTGGTTGTGGTGTCTGCTGCAGTGCTTGGAGTCCTCAGGAAGCGCTAGGAGCATCCTTCAATGGAGGTATCCAGTCGGGGTGCCAGGTTACACTCGTGGCAAACTCACTTGAAAAGGGGATTTTGTCACACCTAGTAAGACCCACACTTAAGACCCTACTTGTAATTCTGGACTTTTATCCCAGTAAACAACACTTTTGTGGGGAACCCAGATCACAACCTCATCTATAATGGTACCAGCATTCAGTGTACTACAGGCATCTCAGACATTATTGCATTTCATGTACAAACCAACGAACCACTGCATTTGCGCCTACACACTGACCCCTACCGGTCATTCGGTGTACTACAGGCTTCTCAGACATTATTGCATTTCAAACACAAACAATTGGATAAGTGGCGCTAAACAAAAAATAGATAAATAACAAATCCCAGTGAGTCTAAAACCAAACCAGTGTTTTAGTCACCTGAAAACACTTACATTAATACAAATGGATACAGGAAGAGGTGGTTTTGCGCACACAGTGGATGCTTGATGAGCTAATCTGCAACATAGACAGCTATCATAGGGCAATATGCATAAACCAATAACTGGTATAGGAAATAATTAGGAGCACTCACATTTTAGAGAGCCATATAAGTCGGCAGTATGGGGGCAATGTGTGTGTATGGGGGGAAGTGTGTGTGTGTGTATGGGGGGCAATGTGTGTGTATGGGGGCAGTGTATGTGTGTAGAGTGTTAAGGGTAGGGGGGCTTTTTTTAATATATATATATATATATATATATATATATGTATTTTATTTATTTAAAATAAATATTTATGTCCCCCGTCCCTTTACTGGAAGGAGGTGGTCCGGTTGTGAATCCCTGGTGGTCCCAGTGGAGAGAGTGATCACTAGAGAGATTTGGAGCGTTGCCACGGTTACCACAACAACGCTCCATGCTTGTGAGAGTAGGACCCGGAGGAGCTGCAGGCAGAGCTCCCCGGTCCTCTCTCCCTCGCCTGCTGGCTGTCAGCACAGTGCCTGCGGACCGGGGAGGGAGATCTCTGATCTCCCCTCCGGTCCACAGGCACATTGCAGGGCTAGCACCTGCATGTGTTGTCAGGGGAGAGGGAGACCGTCGGTTTTCTGGGGTGGGGGCAATTGCACCGTTGCCCCCCCCGGATCCGCCACTGTTGCTGAGTCCACACACACACACTGCTGAGTCCACACACACACACACAGACTGCTGAGTAAATACACACACAGACTCTGCTGAGTCCGTACACACACACAGACTCTGCTGAGTCCGTACACACACACAGACTCTGCTGAGTCCGTACACACACACAGACTCTGCTGAGTCCGTACACACACACAGACTCTGCTGAGTCCGTACACACACACAGACTGCTGAGTCCGTACACACACACACACACACACACACACACACACACACACACACACACACACAGACTGCTGAGTCCATATACACACACAAACTGCTGAGTCCATACACACAGACTGAGTCCATGCACACACACACACACACACACACACACAGACTGCTGAGTCCATGCACACACACACAGACTGCTGAGTCCATGCACACACACACACACACACACACACAGACTGCTATGTCCATATACACACACACACACACAGACTGCTATGTCCATACACACACACACACCAAGCCTACCTGACACTGGAGGCTGTTGCTAGGGGTCAGGCAGCCATCTTCTGCAGCAGCATGGTCTGCTGCTTTTGGTCTGCTGTGTTTGGGGGCGGGGCCTGTGCCGGGGAGCCTGTCAGTGCTCCCTCCAGCCACAGACAGCCCCCAGTACCTCAGCACTGCATTCCCTCGGGCTGTAATAGGCTGTTACAGTCCGAGGGAAGAACATGGCCAGCAAGTTGCTGGCATTTGGGGGGGCCCAAGGGGGAGCACAGCATGATGTAGGGGGGCCATGGCCCCTTCTACCCCTCCCTAGTGACGCCACTGCTTACAACTCATGCTTGCTATGATATAACCATTCCTGCATAACTGCCTACATAGGCATTTAGTTACATTTACTGACAATACGCATACATTTATCCAAGAATGCACATACTAGTTAAAGCACTATGCAGTATTCCAGAGTCTAATATGGAATATTTGCATGTTTGCACGCTTAAAATATAAGTCCTTCCAATTACGTATTTTCACATATTACGTTATTCAGCTGCCAGTCATGGTTCACTACACTCACCTTTCGGGGTACAGTTGTATTCCATATCACACATGGTATAACACTCCCGACAATTTAATTTCCTTCAAACAGGGGCATTACAAGCATACAATAAACATTGGGACGGAGCACTTTGCTCTATTAAACTTGCATAACACACATATGGGTATACGCTTTTAAATGTCTATATTCAATGTTAATACATTGTTTACCCATCCAGGATACAGGTATTAATAACCCTTACGACCAGTAAGGGTATCTAATCATACTACCAGGTACATACACCTGCTCATGTGGTATATACATACATTTTCTGTTTCCCCCTGGGTATATCTTTAGCGTACTGGCAATTAGGGACTATAGGTTTCCAATAGGTATTCTCCTTTCTTGGCATCTACGCCTGTCGTATAGTGGTCCCGCGAAGCCAACACCCCGCCTCAGCGCTCGGAGGCAAACACCCATCGGGCCACTCGTGAGCTAGCCACCTCGCATGGTATATAGAGAGGGCCTCACTTGTGACTCCCTTCCCCTTTTTCTGGTTACAGTCACCGAGAGGCCAACATCCTGCCACTATGTTTGGTGGCCACAAAAATCCCCTCGCGCCATTGCATAGATAGAGCCTCTCAAGCCACTTGGCAACTAGCAGGGCCTCACCTGTCACCAAACAAAGGATTAATTGTTTTGCCATGCAGCTTTAGCTAGCACACTGTGGGTTCATATAATAATGGCCATCTTCATGTTTTTTAGTATGTAGCAAGCAGGTGGTAAGGATTTCTCTCTACCTAACACTCCAGCTAGAGTCAACACACTTTCACTTGGAGAAGATGTTGCTAGTCCCACACGACAATTTTGTCCCAACACAGCGGACGATCATGTTTCAGGCTCCAGGCTCTACAACCTCTGGTAGTACGTAGAGAACTACCAGAGACAAATTGGGTTGTCTGATTCTCTTTGGCAAATCCCAGATTTGAAACAATTTCCATGTTGGCACATGTAGTTTCGGTGCATGCAGACTGTTGCAGATATGTTCTCAATATGTCAGGGCACATGCGAAAACCATGTGTCCCAATAAATGTACCCTGAGCCTTACTTCACGTCTGTAAACATTATGCATTTCCAGTACTTTCTAACTCATCACCCTTCCAGACATTTAGTTAATTTCCTAATCTCCGATTTTAAAGGTCTTCCGTACAGGTATTGCCATATACTTTTGGGGGAATCTAGAATGCCCTAACTTGCAGTCATCACAGCAGCATCCAACAGCTGGCATTACACTCATGGCCCAAGAAATGGCAGAAAGATTTCTACCTGGGCCTCTCCGATCTACACCATTTACAACGTGGCACAATCCCATTGGGATTGTCACAGGGAATCTTCCCTCACACTGTAACCTCATGCCTCGGCTACCCCAAGTCTCAACACCCTCATACCCTTCAAGGAGTTTTCATTACAGTATGCCACCATTGTTCATACCATTACAGCTATAACTTAAGCAGGGGGGGAAGCCTGGTTAAGTAAAACTGATATCACAAACACATTTAAGACTGCCATCATCCACCCTACACTGGCACTTACAGGACATTTATGGGCAGCAGTTAATATTTCTTCTCCCGCTTAACTTTTGGGTCAAGAGCAGCCCACAATCTTCAATATATTTATAGAACTCTTTGCTGCTTGTGGTTAAACATATCCAGATGCCCCACAGTCATACACTACCGAGATGATTTCTTGTTGGTCAAAGGGAACGCCTTTCCCTGTAGAAGCTTCAAGGAAGCCATTAGTATGTCTGAACACTTGGGTGTCCCAGTATTCCCTAAGGTCACAGAAGACCCAGACACTATGGTTACATTCCTGGGCATACAACTTGACTCAGCCTCTATGCCAACAAGTTACCACGAGAGAAATAGGAACAGTCGCAACAACACCAATTACCACCTCCTGCTTGGTACTTGCAACCGCATGGAACTACAATCCCTACCAGGTTCCTTAAATTTTGCCATGTGCATCATACCACAGGCCGCGCTTTCATCTCAGACCACTTTGCTTTTTCCATACTCCAGCATTATGATCAGGGGCTATCCCTAGACAACCAAGCCACGGCAGAGCTACACATATGGTGGACTTTCTTAACCACACGTAATGGTCAACTATTGTGGCAGCTGCCGTGACAGCCGCCATGGCAGGGGGGTCAATTATGGTCAAGGTCATGGATTACATGAACCTCGCCAACATAGCCGGGCTCTGACTAAACTGGCCTTGTCCACCAGCACTCAACACTCATGCTACAGGGTTTTCCACTTATACAATACGTTCATGTCGGACCATCAGATAGCGGGTTTAAGGTTCCACCACTTCTGGCCTGCGCCTCTTTTTCCCACCTTAAGTTGAAAATTCTCGCACAACACATATATATATATACACAAAACCAAGAGGGCTGCACTCACCTGAACATGCATTCATTATAGGGTGCTGCTGGGGCCAAAATATACAAAATACAGAATCCAGCGCACTCGCTTAATCACTCAACAATGATTTCAAATCTTAGAGATTGTAGAAGTTTTATTTAAAAACACCTCACCTAGGCAAAAAATAATGGGGGTTTAGTTACATTATATGATCATATATTGCATAACTAGGAAAGGTTAGTATACCTCGAGTGGTACACAAAAATAGAGGGAGTCCAACTAACACTTAGTTGCTCTCACTGGTAATGATAGGAATTCACCAAAACCAACATAAAAGAAATAACAAAGGAAGCACCCTAACGGATAGTGTTGTACCCAGGAGCTAACTAGTGATAATGACTCTGGTCTGGTGATATAACACAATGGATAAATGAACAATTGGAGATAGAAACAGGTAAAAAATAAAAATAAAAATAAGAACTAAAAATATACAAAACATAAAAATATTATACAGTTTAAAAAAAAATATATATTTTTTTTGGATAGACATAACAACATCTGGGGAAAGGAACCTTACAGAAAAAGGACTCCTATCCCCATTAGACATACAAAGGTATATTAATCTATTTCAAATTACATCAGAAATAAGCCGTCTAGTACACAATAATATACTAACATTAATATCCCAGAGAAGGGATATTATGGTCCAAAAGCAGTCTTAAAACCTATATAAATAAGACAGACAGTAACAAAGACAAAACTAGTCAGATATATTGCAGATCCAACATTACATTAGCTAATATCAAATATGTGGACAAGGAGCCCCATAGTAGTGCCCGCTATAAAATCATTAATTAGACATAAGGTGATCATAGAGAGTAACCCCACCTCCTCAAATTCATTAAAGCTCTTTAATTTTTTCAACAAGACTGAAATAAAACGTCAAAATATTAAAATTGGGATATTCTCTCATGTAAATTAACCCCTTTTCCATCCCGACTTGGAATAAGAGTTGGGCTTTAACTTGATCTCTAGTAGGAATATCAATGCTTTTCCAAAATCTAGCAATTAATATTTTGGTAGCCATTAAACAATGTATAATCACAATATCGAGATTATCCTTTTATTTCTAAGCCCATAAAATGGAGTAGGGCAACTTCCGGTTTGTGTTACAGATGTATACCTCCAATTCTATTTATAAATTCAAATGTAATAGTCCAGAGACTTAATTCGATGGCAGGTCCACCATATATGAAACATAGAACCATCTGGGTGTAGACACCGCCAACAATTAGATGGATTAGTAATAGATATTTTAGCAAGTCTAGACGGTACCAAGTACCATCTGTACAATATTTTAGTAAAAGTCTCTAGAATATTCAGGCAGTGAATGTTTTTTTTTTTTAGTCCTCATAAAGGATTCACATCAACTATTAAATAGAATGGATATTGCTAGGTCAGTTTCCCATTTGGTTAAAGCTTTGGGGATAAGTGGAGTCCCCTTCATTTTTATTAGTTCAACTGCAATAGAGAATATCTTTTTAACCTTACACCCTGAAAAATTTTTCCTTAACAATTTTCCAAAACGGCTGTCTAATACCAATATGTTGTCTTTCAAATAGCTCTTAATACGAAGAAAATTACATAATTCTCTAGAGGGTAAATCTAACCAGTTTTTCTGAACTTCAAAGCTTTTCAATTGGTGATCATTATAAAGATCTTTTATCTTATAATTAGGATCTTTAAAGCAGTTTGTCAGGTTTATCTCTAGCATAAAACGTTCTAACGACCTTAGACTGAGGTTCTCATATAGTTTTCTATTAATATTCAACTTCTTGTTTATAGTAGTCCATTCTTTTAATGTCTGTGATAGAGACAATGGAAAATGAGAACTAATCTTGCACAAATGCTTATTATATACAGTTTAAAAATATTTGAGTATTGTGCCTTTAAATTGGAAGAATGAAGATAAAGTAAAACTACTAGAAAAAATAAAAAGAATACTAGAAAAAATATTAAATAAACAAACAAAAATGAAAAAATAGGGAAAGAATGTGTCGGTATACACAACTAATGAAAAGGTAAAATTATGGATAATAAAAAGTCAACTTAAAAGACCTGCATTAACATGCAGCAAAGGGATGTGCAGTGTTTTTATCTCTATCCCTGATACAGTGCAGGGTAAAATGATACTTCCACTAAATAATATACATTATATGAGCAAAAGATATAAATGGCAATATATTAGCAACGCAGTATATGGAACTGTGTGCCAGTGCAATACAATGTATCGCTATAGACTGAAGTGAATGCAAAAACTGGATATAAATGTAAAAAAACAGTTTATTAAACAAAAAGTAAAAATATAAAAATTATGTAAAAATATACATCAGGAACAGTTCACAGTTTTGTTACCAGTCTTATAAATGTCAATTGGTGTT